CTCCACAACCTCTCTGGGCAGCCTGTGCCAGTGCTCCACTACCCTCAAAGTAAAGAAGTCCCTCCTCATGTTAAGATGGAACTTCCTGTGGTCAAGTTTATGCCTGTTACCTCTTGTCCTATCACTGGGCACCACTGAAAAAAAGACTGCTCCCATCCACCTGGCATCCTCCCTTTAAGCATTTGTAAGTATTGATAAGATCCCCCCTCAGTCTTCTTTTCTCTAGACTAAAAAGACCCAAGTCCCTCAGCCTTTCCTCAAAAGAAAGATGTTCCAGTCCTCTAATCATCTTTGTAGCCCTTTGCTGGACCCTCTCCAGCAGATCCCTGTCTTTCTTGAACTGGGGAGCCCAGAACTGGACGCAGTACTCCACATGTGGCGTCACCAGGGCAGAGTAGAAGGGAGGATGACCTCCCTTGACCTACTGGCCACACTCTTCTTGATGCACCCCAGGATGCCATTCGCCTTCTTGGCCACCAGGGCAAAATGCTGGCTCATGGTCATCCTGTTGTCCACCAGGACTCCCAGGTCCCTTTCCACAGAGCTGCTCTCCAGGAGGTCAGCCCCCAACCTGTATTGATATATAGGGTTATTCCTCCCCAGATACAGTACCCTACACTTAACCTTGTTGAACTTCATTCGGTTTCTCTCTACCCAACTCTCCAGCCTGTCCAGGTCACGTTGAACGGCAGCACAGCCTTCTAGCGTGTCAGCCGCTTCTCCCAGTTTTGTGTCATCAGCAAACTTGCTGATGGTACACTCTATCCTTTCATCCAGGTCATTGATGAATATATTGAACAGGAATGTATTTATATATATCATATTATATCACAAAATAAATCGTATCATCATAAACATATTTTTATATATCACGGAAAATACATTTTCATTCTGCTTTAGTCTAGATCATAAAGATTTAATGTAAAAATCAAACTAGGATAAGATCAGTGTACCCAGGGGCCCCATACAATTCCCACTGAAGTCAGAAGGACTCGAATGGAAATTGAATGGGGCTCCAACTACTTCAACATAGGTGCTTATGCGCCACTGTGCTGGAGATCACAACAACACCTCGTGCGGCACTCACCCACACTAAATCCATTGGACTATGAATGCGAGCCAATCAACAGAGCTAAGAATACAGATAATGCAGGGAGGGGAAAGAAGCGTTCAATGTAAAAAAGAAACAACGGAGTTTCAAAGTAAAAAAGAAACCAAGTGTTCTTAGCACATTAAGAGCTATAATGAAATACCGCATCTTGAGTTTGTTGCTGTTTGAAGGAAGCTAGGAAACAAGCAAGAATTCATTATGAAGCTGCTCAAGACTAAAAAATGAATCATTGGGTTCTAAAAAAATCCAGTTGTCTAGAGAACAGCGTAGATGAAAATGAATGGAATCTCTTTAAATTACTCTCTGTATAAACTCTTTCACATTCATTCTTTCTGCCATTGATTAGTATCTTTCTGGGATATGGGTTTTTAAATAATTCCAATCCATAGTCACAGCTTCTGCAATCAAAACAGAAACGGCTCTTGATTCTGCATTTTTAGTCTTCATTTACAGGGAAAAATGTCTTCTGCAGTAAAAAACTTGAACACCTACTGTTCTTACCCATTTACTGGATATCCTCAAAAGTGCATGCTGAAGGCTCAGTAATCAAATGAGATTAAGATTCTCCCATTACTTTACAAGTAAGAGGACTTTTGTATGCTAGTCCTGCATAAAGCAGGATTAAATCACCTCTGGAAAGCCCTCAAGATCATTAAATTGCTAAGAAGCTGGGACCCCTCTGATCCTAGCATCCCTGACAGTAAAGCAGAAAACCCCAAATCCTAAATAATAAATTGAGAAGACTTCTCTGCACACCCAGGTAGCAACGCGCAAAAGGGAAACATGGCCGGCAAAACACAGCTTCTGGCTATACTGTTTTTGCTCTGCCCAGTTTCCTGAGAAAAGGAGGCCTGTGTGACCACACTGCGTGTTTGTGTACCTCTGTCCCTTGCGCCACCCCCTTTCCAGCAATTTCTGAAGCATCAACCAGTTATAATTCCACTTGACCAGAGCTCCACTGAGGGAGAAGCAGTACTGAGAGCTGACCTGCTATCAGTCATGGGGGAAACCACCACAGAGCAAGAAACTCGCTGTGTTCCAAGAACTGGAAAAACATGATGTCCTCTACTACTTCGCAATTTCAGTTAATTCCCGATTAGAGGCATACCTTATCAGACCAAAGAAATCCAATCCAGACCAGAAATCCAACGAGATACAACTCTGTTGAAAAGCCAGTTTCCTCGTCTCACAGCTTGTGGAGCGACACACAAAAACACTAAGGGAACCCCTGGGAATAATACGGAGGGGCTCTGGTAAGAAGCTGTAAGTGGTGAGAGGCAGAGATACCTGCTGCTAAGGACAGTCCTCAGCAACTCAGGCTCAAGGATCAGCCCTCAGAGGTGCCTTGAAATAGAAGTCCATCCACCCTTTCCCTTTTTGAAGTCTTTTCAACCAAAGCCTCCTAATCCACCATGGCCAGAAGGTGGGGCTCACCCAGCTTGTGCCCCCAGCAGTCCTCCAGGGCTCCCAGCCCGGGGCTCCCTGGCTGCGACAAACCTCCCCAAGACACCACAACAGTCACACAAACCTGAACCTTGCCCAAAAGCCTGACAGCTCTGAAAAACACAACATAGATCGACGCAACATAGAGTACGCAGCAATGCCAAAGCATTGCACTAGCCCGCATCCTACTGGCACTGCGACAACAACAAGAAACGGGGCAAATTAACATGGGAATGGCTGTTCCTAAGGGCTCCCAGCATCTGAGATATCTCAGGTACCTCACTACAGACATACCCAGCGCATCTGACACCTACAGCATCCAGCACAGCACCATTCTGCTGATTTAGGCAGAGATATAGCCAGCTGGGAGGGTCCCCAAAAATTAGCAGTTTGTTAACCAAGACAGTTTGAAGAAGCGCAAGAAAGGAAAATTTTCATGAAAAGAGAAAACACACAAAATTGCCTAAGATCTCAGACTTCTCATAGAAAACCATCCCACTCATGATTGTTGAAGTGGATTTTACAAGAGTTACTGTGATGACATCCAAAATTTATTACAGCTTTTACAACAAGACCGTGTCTAGTAAAGAGTGATGTAGTGACAACATTTACTTGGCTGGATTTAGCTTCTTAGGGCACATAAATATACTTTTGTACTTTAAGAACAGCCGTGGCTGCCTACTAAATCTTGAATAATACAAGGCAGCTTTGTAGACCTTTAAACACATGCACCAACTTGGTTCTGTCTCCTTCAAAAATCTGCTTCCTTATATCTGCCCAGTCAGTCCCCAAGGTCCTGTTCTGCTCATCATTTGTCAACCTCAGCTTTTAAAGTGCAACTGTTTGGAAATCATGTTTTTGAATTCCTGTGCTCTTTCAGTATGGAATTCATTACTTTTAGAAAGCCGCAAAGTTTGTTTTCCCACCTCCCCCGGTTATAAAACAAACTGGAAGTCTTATCTGTTTTCCTTGGTACATACATGATGAATTTTGCATGACTTTTTTAATTTGAAAACTTATTTATTGACCATATGGGTGAAAACCCCTATAATAAATATAAATCAAATTTTAGATTTCTGTTAAGCACTGAATAAGGAATGTCTTTGGTCTAACAGTTTAAAAAGACAATTTAAAAGGACATTAGAATAGAATAGGAATAGCTGGACAGAACTTTTGAAAACAAGTAGCGATATTTTAGGTTGTGGTTTTTTGGGAGACAGATTTGAAGCGTCTTAAAATGTCCTGATTTCCAGAAAACAGTCTAATATTGGAAAATTACGTTCCTTGCAGGTGCTTCACATGCTCATGTTGTTGACCACTTTATAGGTAAAAATAATACTTTACCTACACATTGCACTCTCTAATATACTGCTTACCAAAACTACAGGAGGACTAGGTGATACTTTGCCAAATAATGCGACCGTATTTGAAAAAAAACTGAATCCAGCCAGGAGCAGCCATAAAATTGTGTAAGAGCCCAGACCTGCTGTCTGTGTCTTATGGAGAAATCTGGCTTAGCTCCTGGTGGCTGCCACAGCCAGAGGAGCCCAACAGCATCCCATCCTGATGCTGACCTTGCCCTTCCCCTGCCACGAGGCTCCAAGAGCTTACTCAGGGGGCTTGGGCAGAAATGAGGGTAACTCTTAAGGACAACCTTCCAGAGCCACCCAAACTAGCCCTGGCCCTTCCAACCCCCAGAGAAGCCTGACCCACCCACCCCGCCACGCAAGTAGCTCCCAAAAGTCATGTTCCCTGCCCCATGGCAGGGCACTACCCAGACCCATCACTTAATACTTCCAAGAAGGATCAGTCATAAACCCCAGGACCTGTGTTAAACGAGCAAACCCATAAATGCCTGCACCTAAGAAATAAATAAAAAAAAAAACAAACCCAAACAACTTAAATGCAAGTTTGCCTGTGTTTTACAGTATCCCCCGTATGCCACAAAGGATTTGGACTATTTCCATGTTCGTTTCTGCTGCCGCTGTTCTTATCAAAACACACTGTTCTTTCCCTGTGACATTTCTTCATATCTTTGAAAGAATGCTCTCTCTTACCACAAAATATTTGGCTTGAATCCTCCAGCGAGGAGGAGCCAAGGGTTTGGCTCATATTTTAAAAACAAAAGTAGTATTACTCTAAACATAAAACAAATGAGTGCAACTGTAACAGTAGATGGAGATAGAGCTCCTAGCACAACCTATGAATAATTCCAAGTTATATTAGAAGTAACACAGCTTTCTGAATTTCCCTAGAAAACAGCATGTCGTTATTAGGTTCCAGCTTGACTACAATGCAAAACGTCACTTTTTTCAGAGAAGAAGCTAAACAAAAGACAATATGTAGTGCAACAACCGAACCGAAAAGCATATCCACTTACAATCTGAAATTGTGAAAGACAATGGGTGTACACATAAGCACAGAGATATTAAAAGATGGCTCTTACCTCCATCCCCAGATCCTGAGCCGGCATCTGAGAAAAGAACAGAAAGAAATTTATATTCACACATGTCCTGTAAGCATGCAAAGCAAGACTGTTCAGTTAAGTGTATTACAGTGTACCTTATGTTTGATGTCATCCCTGGGTAAATTAGAGAGATCTAATCTGAACATAGTTCACTCAAGCCATCTTAGTCTCAACTCTTGTTCTTTAAAGTCTCTGTATCAGACTAAAATAACGTCAGCCCTGGAGTGCTTCAACATCTTCATAAGCCTCTGCCTCGTTTTGTTGTACTGAGACTGCTAAAGCTTTGTTCCTAACAGTTGTGCAAAATTACTTCACTTGGCCACCATTACTAAGCCCTCCCCAGCAATGATAATTTTTTTTAATCCATTTGTTTGAGGCCAGACCAATTGGAAATTCATGTCATTATCTTTACAAAACAGTGATATCTCATCAGATCATAACTAGTTGGAATAAACCATTGAAATTATTATTATTCAAAATACTTTAGATAAACAATTTAAATGCTATTTTTCTCAAGGTTGTTGCTGAGTTTCAAAATTGAGTCCACTATTTTTCTTCTGCTCAATGTTTTGTTGGGTGGAATGACAAGAATCACAAATTTAGAAAGTGAAACATCACAACATTGCCAAGCCCAGAGCTTCATTACGAAACTTTCTAAGCAAGGCAAAGTGCAGAAATGCACACACATTTTGGGTTACCAAAAATAATCCATAAGAGGAGTTTGTTTTGCAGGGAAAGGAGGGAGAGAGTTTGTCATCCCATCCTCCCCCTTACTGGAGGGGTTATCCATTTATCAAAGCATCAAGATTAGTAGGAGGAGTTTGGAAAGGCTGCTTTGGGATTCAATTACTCTATAAACTGTTAGATCTAGTTTAGTGACAGCAGGCTCTGGGAGATCTGAACTGGCTTGTACATGCCATCACTGCTCAAAGTTAAAAAAAAAGGAAAACCTTTATTTAAATAAACCTGTCACCAAAATGGCTTGAAACAGTAGATTTACACGGCAAGACTGCATGGGACAGATGCAAAAGAGGGCTGGAAAAGAAAACAGAAAACAATAGCGTGTTCCCCAAAAACCATCTCCTGCATTTTCCTCATCCCATCTTCTGTCGCAATGGTCTTTCCCAAATGAGCTACTGAGAAAAGGAAGGCGTCTTCATTACAATGCCCTCATGGCACTCAGAAGCACTGCTTCTTCAGTCTCCCCAGCAAAAAGAAATGAATCCCTGCTATCACCTGCCTCCTGCAGTGAACTACCACATTCTCTGGCTGTTTGGAAGAAAAGGACCTCATCTCATGTCTTTCCTCCTGCCCCTACCCTTCAATGCCCAGACCTGTGCTGGTCACAGCCAGGAGGGATGCCCACTGCCAGAATACTCCCAGCAACCCAGGTCTCTGATGGTCCTGTGCACCCTCTCTCCGCCCCATCCCGCAGGGAGAAGCTGAGGTACACGGCTGCTCCCTTCTCCACTGAGCCTTCTCCTTGGGAGAAGGAATCAGAGGCCAAATGATCGAGAAGTCAGGAAAGCCCTTTTGGTTTTTTTTCTTCTTCTCCATTTCCGAAATCCACAATGTGTTTCAGAGAGAATGCTTCCAACATAGCCATTGCCAGTAGGCAAGCAAGTTCAGGAAAAGATGTAGCAATGCACTAAAGTTATCCCTTTAATCAAAAAGTTTGAACCAAAAAAGACCAGTTGTTGTGCTGAGAGAATTTATTAAGTTGAACAAATCCTACGCCGCAATAGACTTTGTCAGCCTGAGCTCTGTTTAATACCAATTTATAGACAAAAAAATTGCAGTGTATGTTTTTTTTCCTCTTGAAAATTGTCAGGGAACAGCTTCAGAGAAGAACAACATTTCCAGGGAAAGAAGTTTATTTTCTCTCAGGTGTACGAAACACAAAATTACGGCACTACAAAAAGTTTCTCTAATGCACTTTTTATTGACTTCTCCATCCTCAGCAAAGAAAAGATTCTGCTTTAAGTTTAAAGAACTCTCTCAAGAACAAAGACTAACTCCTCCTGCTCTTTTCAAGTTAACTTCACTGCCCACCTCTAACAGATACCGAGCACAAAAGAAAAACATCAAGAACTTCTGCACGTAAGCAACTCGGTTTTCCTGACTGATTTTGCTCATTCACCTTTCTGGCTGTTTCACAAAAGCAGAGATACAAACAGCACACGATGCTCAGAGTTAAGCAAAGACGTCCCAAATGCCAGTCAGTTTTCACATATGGTCTTTAATGAATTCTTCCAACAAGTCCAGAAAAAAACCCAACCTGTTGCACAGATTTGTTCGTTACGTGTGTTTTGGGCCAAATCTGCAGCTGGTATAAATCCGCAGGGCTCATTACAACCAGTGGTCTGTTGAATCATACCAGCTAGGAATCTGGCCCTACGTGCATAAGAAAAAACCTAAGAAACTGGATTGCAGGCAATAATGCTCCAGTTCTAGCTCTCCAGATTATGGAGAGGTTTGTGGTAATCCAGATGCCCATTTATCAGACATCTGCTCCTTTAATCTGCTTCCAGTTACTTGTCGTAACAGCTCAGAAGCGTACGCATCACACAGGATGATCAGGAGCACAAGATATGTATTAAAAAAAAGAAAATCAACTTCTGTGTTGCACTCTTCAAAACAGCGTCAAGGGTATACTGTATCATAGACTGTGAGCCTATACTAAGTTATTTACTTAAAAGGGAATGCCTCAGACTGCAAAGAATTGACCCATAAGGAATTCAAAGCAGGGATTCAAATGGCTTTTGGCATCCGCGGGTTATTTTATTCAGGGGCATGGCAAGGTCTGCAGGCAGCCTGGAGTGTGTTATACATACCAGTTGCACATGATCCTTCGGACACCAGAAGTATTTCGCTCTGTTGCTTGCAGGCAGCCTGTTTCAAGTAGCATTCGTTCTGGTAGGTGTCGCCGTTGGAGCCGCACACGGGCACGTAGTCATTGTTACACTGATGGCAATGGACAGAGAGCAGCGGCGTTAGTCACACAAGTGGAGTGGCACAGCATCCATCTGGGTGTGTGTCCCGTCCCCCGTCCCCCCCCTTCCAGTATTAAAACCCTGGGGAAACACCAGAGAGGGAGACGCTGCCCCTCCTCTTCACATGTCCAGCTACCAGGGGAGAGGGAGGGGACATTTTTAAAAAGGCAAAAGGCAGAAGAGCATAAACCAGATGTGAGCGGGTTAGGGAAAAGATTATCTGAATGGGGAAAGTGTTCAATAGCTGCCCCCAGAGGCGCCTCTCCCTGCAAGAATGAGGAGGGGGGGGCATTCCCCAGGAAGGAATACGGTCAAGGCAAACATCTCCTCGCATCTGCAATAGCGGCTCGTGTGTTTCCATTGGACGGCCACAGACAAATTGTAACGAACAGGCTCACTTCTCCCCTCCTCCTGCACATACACACCCTTACTGCTACAGAGAAAGTCCCTTGCACACACAGAAGCGTGTGTGTGTGTGTGTGTGTGTGTGTATAACTATTTAAGTACTTAGCCGCAATTAGAACTGGTCAGACCAAGGGAAATTATTTCTGATAGACCTACGATCAAAACTCATCCCTCTTTCTGCAGAGACATTTCTGTTCCCGGAGAGCCGCGGCCGGGATGCTCTGCAAAGGTCCAAGCTCTCCCCTCAGCAAGCAGGAGCAGGAGCAGCGCCACCCGCTCAGCCACTGCACTCAAGAGCGCAGGAGTCACTCACACCACGCACCCCACCAGCGGCTCAAACTCCTGCTCAGCTCTGCAAACTACCTGCTTTGTTCCCTTCACTGCTGAAAGACGGCTTTGCCCTCTCTTGTTCGTTTTAATAAAAATTATTCCATTTTATATTGAAAATTGGGCAACCTACCGGGTGCAGTTATCATAAGATAATCACGCTCCGAGGCTTAGAAATACTTGGATGTACCCTGTACGTGGTAATTATATCAGGGATATGATTATCTCATGATTACTGTACTCCTGGTATGCCTCATTGTTTAATTATAACAAATGGAATGATCACAATTATTATTTACGAATGCTCACCTCTGCTTAAATCCAAGTAAAAATTAAAAAGAAATCATACTTCCTATTTAGCTGTATTATGCCACAAAGTGTCTGAGGTGTGTTCGTCAGGCACAACGTAAAATGCAGAACTGAAATTCTAGGGATATAAACACCAAATACGCTTCAAAGTAAATGACTACAGAAGTGATTAACACAAACAATTGCATAGATTGCATTAATTGCAGGCCTCCCTACACAGCAGCTGCCAAGAAATTATTCATAGTTGGTCAGAGTGACATTTTGATTGGGCCAAATCAAATGACATTTTCCTTATGCATTGTATTTTCTTAAATCTTCCCGAGCTGCTGCCCACCCCCAGCACTCTCTTCCCTTGGAACAAGAAAAAATACCAGCAGCCACAACAGTAGAAATCCTCTCCTTCTGCTCCTAACGAAGGGCTCCTCCATGCAAAGATTGATTAAATAGTGTTTCTATGCTATTTTCACCATTATGTTCCAAATCTGAGCAGTGTTTCGAGCAGAAAATGCCAACTTCATCCAGAAGCTCAACAGCAATTGCTGGAGGCTGTTCTGGAATACTTAACCAGGACAATGAACACAATCATGCAAATTTTCTAAAGCATGAAGGATCAAATCACGCTTGCTTTCGACATGCTATCTGCTTGTCACCCACTGGACTTTCTGCCAGAGCAATCTGTGCAGAATTTGGCCCAAAGTATCTCAACAGGCTCCATTACATGTAGAAACAATGTTGGATACTGTTCCCAAGAAACACAGTGGCAAACTCTCCGCTGGTTTCGCCCAGAGCAAGAGGCAATCTTTGGGAACGTGGAAGGCCAGTTGGCCCGGCATTAACAGCACACAACATCAAGAGTGAACTCCTGATCCACAGAAACAAGTGACGGAGCTGCTATGAGCTAGGCTGAAGTTTCTCCCAAAGCCTGGCAATTTTAAAATGCATTTGAAAGACACCGGGGCTCCAGGAAGGATTAACTCTCGTGGAAGAAGTCTGCCCATCTCTCCTCTGGCTCCTGCCATGCTCGAGCATGGCTTCAGTCAAGGGGGGTGGAGGGTACTCCATGATGAGCGCCGGTGACGCAGTCTTTTCTTTCTCAAACTGTGCTGGACCCAGATGCACTTCTTCATCTGCTGCCCATTCTTCCCACCACTGCCTTCAGACAGACGGTATTTGGATGGAAAAGGCAGGAGGAACCTAGTCGCTGCCGCTGAGCCACAGGGAACAAAAGAAGTGAGAGCTTCCAGATGAAGAGCTTCCTTTGAGCTGGGGTGGCTCCAAAAGCCACCAGGAAACCATAGTGGAAGTCACCCAGGAAAGAAAACAAGATGACTGATGAGAAGGTTGTGACTTTAGTTACCAGGTTCCTCGTAACCTGCTAGAGCTAGACTCTTGCACTTGACCACGCTGAATCCAGTACTCACAGATCCTCACTGTCTTAACATACTTCCTACTAGTACTGGAGGGTATTAGACCTTGATGGTCAGTTTCCTCAGTCTACTGGCACATTTCTGGCATTGGTTTAGGGGTCAATAGACCCAGCCCTAGATGCGAGAATGACTCTCCCTCCCTAAAATAAGGCCTGAACAAGCACTTGGGGAAATCCATGTCAAAACTCCCACTAAACCCAGCAGCATAGTCCGTTCTGTCCACTTCTTACACACGCAGGTTTGTAAAATATGGCTGTGGAGAAGGGAAATGGACGTATCCAATTCAACCAGTATCAGTCAAAGGCTGCGTTCCTCAGCCCTAGCAGCACTGAGTGCCCACTATCACAGCCAGAGACAAACCAGCTTTGCAAGTGCTGGGGTCAGCGCTAGGCACTGAAAGAATAAGGTGTATTTGCTAAATAAAATGATAACTTGTGTAACCTCTCATCCTGCTAACGCTGTCAGAAGTTTGACCTCCTCCTCCTCTCATGGATTAACTACTCCCAAAACGCCACCTACACCTTGAACCAAAGTAGCATGAAAATATATTCCAGAAATACAATCTAAAGTTGCAAGTTGGCCAGGTGATGTTCCAGCTCCACAAACACTCGAGCATGGATTCAACACATATGAAAACAGGACTCCTTCCTCACATAAAAAACAGTGAATGTCCACAGTCTTGATGACTAAAGAGAAAAGACACGCTACAGTGACAGAAACACTCTGGTATATTTTTGGATATGTTCATGAAATCTAAGAGGGAAGAGACCCCTGGCTGCCGGACCTATGGCCGGACCCCAGCAAGCCATGTCTCCAACCACACGACTCCTGGCACAGCTCTGCACCTTCTGGTGAACCCATTGAGTTTGCTTTGTGTAGGGAGGGAAGGGGTGGTGGCTTCCTCTATGCTCAGCCCCACTGCTGGAGCCAGCACTGACCCAGTGCCTTCCCTCCCTGCCGGCACCAAGGTCTGGGCTTGCCCTTACGGGTCTGTATTTACTGATCGGAGTGGGACATGGTGTTTTCCAATGCAATACATGTCTCTTTGTGAGGAGTCAGTGAATGGGCTATTGTTTTGCAGTAGAGTACAACGAGAGCCAACCAATATGAATCCCTTTCTTAGCACACGCCTGCCAGCTCTCCAGGGATGGAAGCCTACCTCAGGTGTTCCAGAGCAGCCTGATCACATCCACCCTTTCAAATAACAATAAATTAATTTTAACTCCACTTGGACAGACACGATGCATCTGTGATTCTGGTTTGAAAAAAAAACCCCAAATTGCAGCAGCCCTCCTTCCCACTTCTGCCTCCCTCAGCCCCTCAATACACAGGCTGCCCAGCTCAGGACTTTTCAACAGCATGGCAGCAAAATTAGCTTTCCGTCCTTGTCTATTCTCTCAAGCTGCAGTTAAAGCCCCTGGCAAATTCTGGAGAAAACATAAAAAGTAATTATAGTGATGAGGAGTCTGCTATTGATTTGCTCACTATCACCCCAGAGAGCTGTCACTGAAACAGGGAACCTGAATTCTGATGGAGGACCCCCTTACTCACGGCATAAATTACCTGGCCGGCTCTGTCTTACTTGGCCAGTCTCAGATGCCACACTAGAAATCAATTTCCTACTCTGGTGGCACATCTTTTTTGGCTTGTCGCATTGTCCACTGACGTTACAAGAGAAGCTAACATCCCCCCAGCTCTGCCTGTATCAAAGCCGACACGTTTGACGACAGAAGCCCCCGGCACCGCACCACCCTGCGCAGCGCCAGCACAGGATTAGCCACAGGTAATTTGCCCTCCAAGGTCACAGTCAGCCCTGCGGCTCCACTGAGGGCTTAAATCATAGACAAAGAGCTCTGAGTGTTTACAGGACCTGATCCAGAGGCCACCAAAACTAAAGATTGCTAGTAAACGGGTTGAAATCAGTAGTAATCAGGTGCGTAACTGCCCAACTCCTTCTTTTGATCTCATTTACATATTCATACACCAATCACCTGATTTCCTTAAATCTGTCTCAACTGCCCCCTAGAGAATCACTCAACTCAGCATATAGATAGTGTTCACCTCTCAAAGCAGAGACAACACAGCCCAGAGAGGTTTACTTAGCTTCATTTACCCTGAATCACTGGGGACCAGCATCCCGTCTTGGGAAAACAGCGCTCCCAGTGCCTTCTTCCCTGCAGATAGCAGCATCTGAGTTTGCTCCTTCTAGGCTACGAGTCCACTGTTTTATGCCAAATGGCAACACTAAACTGGGACCAAAGACAAGACCCAAGCGCTCTCTGTGGCTGCTCTAAGTCCCCATTGCTCATGGCACAACATCTGTCCTAGCTTGCCACCAAGCAATGGGACAAGTCACAGATGTTTCACTGTGTTACAGGTTTTTCTTAGAAAGAGAAAACAGACCAACCCTTAAATCGCTGCATGTGCTGAGCCAAGGCAAATGCACAAAACAGCCTTCTCGCATGGACTTTTGATTGCATGCAAACTAGAAATGGAATAAAAAACCCCTACGGTCAATATGAATTCTCTCCCAACATGGGAAACACAAGCACTTCAGCAAACAACTGTCTTGTTCTTATTACAGAAAATTCCTTCTTTGTTTTAAATGAAGGAATTTATCACTTGGGTTTTTTCTCCAAAGACACATTTGGCTCTACAAATATAAACGATACTTGTCATGCTTCAAAGCGAATAGTCTATCAAAGCTCAATAATAAATTAATCATTACAGATGTGCACGATCTTGAACTGTGCACTATTTGGCCTGCTCTACTGTAAACACTCACATCCGCGTTACAAGTTCCACAACTTCACAGATCCACATTAAAATGCAAGAAACCACAAGGGCATAAATGTATATAGAAAACGTGCTGGTACATGCTTAAAACTCCTTTAATTTGTTCAGTTTTTATTCAGGTCATTATGTAAAGCACAGCTGTTTTGCGAGTTGGCTAAAACATATTAAATGGAATCCTTCATAATGAAATCGTCTGACTTTAAGAATGCCTGAGGTTTAGATGTAGCTGCAAGAGGGAGAGAGAAGAAATAGAAGGAAAACCCCCTACTACTGAGTGACAGCCCCCCTAAAACTATATAAAACCTAAAGGAAGTTCATGATTTTGGAACAGAGGGATTGCTCTTTAATCTGATCAGCTGGGCAGATAAACAGGCAGAAGCATTGTCACTATGCAGCCCTTCCTGAAAATATCGCATAAGCACATTACAGATCCATTTCTTTAACTAGATCAGAACTCCGAATACAATAAGCCATGATCTGTATCAGAAATGAATTTAGAAAGGACTCTAAATCCTTGTTAAAAGGGCAGAGACGCAAAATCAGAAATGCACAACCTGAAACTGCAGACCCGAAGGGACATTTAAAGCCACAGCATCTGCATTTTCCCAGAGAAACTTATGTCCTCTTGACACCAGTTGGTTCTCCTGCCAGCTTTTATACACGCTACCAGGTTTTCCCTGTAACTTCTCTGCACGTAGAGAAATAAATTGCCGAGTGATAGGTTATAAAGGAAGATCCTTGATTTGTATTCTCATTAGCGAATTAGAGAACGAAATATCAATCTTCTTACCTTGAACTGACAGACACAAGTCACACTGTCTCCAATCCTTAAACATTCCCCATCAAATTTACAGGTATTGGTGTCGCAGAGAAAGAGATCATTTTCTCTGTCATCGTAACCTCAAATATAAAGAGGGAAAAAAAAAAAAAAAAAAAAGGAGATGTCAGCTTTGGTCTAGCAGGAGGAACAATACGGGATGATTGCATTTTAATGCACGCAGCACAATAACCTTGTTGATGAAATGATACAGTCCAGATTTTCTTTTGTCCTTCCCTGTCCTCAGTCTTCCACTTTTTCTCATTTCTCTCTCAGTCTTCCTATTAGTCGTTATTCCCCACAACCTCACACACTTTTTTTTCCCCTATTTCACAGACTCTGTTTCCTCAAAAGTCACCTGGTAATTATGCTATTTCATGGCTCTGGGTTGGAAGTACCATCAACTTATCCCCATCCGAACACAAATCTGTTGGACAAAAGTCCAAATTGGAATTTCTCCAGCCCATGATGCAACAAAGCCCCCAATAATAAAGACAAACAGGCTGTGTGTTTTCTGTGATGGTCTGTCTGATCCCAATGAAGATTGATCGCCTCTAAGTTAACAGAAGCACCAGGTCCCCCACAAGCCGCTGAGTGAACCTAGCTCTTTGCCTTCATTTTCTCCAGGAACCAACAGATCTGACTGAAGATTCAGTTCACGAATACAAGCATGAATTTCAGATTTTGCTAGCTGACTTCCCACTCCAACAGCGTGCAGCAAGGTATTAAACAAAACAGCTATATCAGACTCCAAACCTGTTAAGATCCAAATCCATCTCTTTTTAAAAAAAAAAAACCACAAAACATCCCAGTGCTCTTAAGCATATCACTGCATATTTAAAATTAAGATCTTACAGTGGAAATTCACCCCGATCTAACATATTATGTGTGATGCTCACGTTACCCCAAATAACACTCTCCCAGAGAAGGCTATTACAGTCTAATTTCAGAAAGACTTTATGTATCGGAGAAGGGCCGGCTGCTGACCTACATAAAAAACTCATTACAAAGGTCAGCCCGACTTTAAGGGACAGTCACCCGGTGTCGCGGTGTCCGTACCCCGATTTGCTCTCAATGCGGTGCGCAGGGAAACAGCCGCCCGCAGGATGCGCACGCCCGGCGCGGCTCCCCGCTCCCCTCTCCCGCCGACACACGCCGAGTTGCCCCGTTTAAGTGCAGAGTTGCGCTCCGGCGGGGCCGGCG